CCACTATCCTCAACAACTTTACCTACTAACTCTCCCAAGGCCAAGTCCACCAGTATTCCTCCGTCGGCTATGTCGTCGTCGTCCGCTGATAAAAGTCCACCAGTCAAACAACCGAGTTGTTCCACCACTAGTTGTTCCACCAGCAATATTCAGGCTTCGGCCATTAAACGGATTGAAAACATGGAGAAAGAGAAATGTAAAGAAACCACGGAAGAAATGCCTAAAGAAAATGTTGAAGAGAAAGAAAAGAAAATAGTTGAATACCTGATTTGTCAGGTGGAAGAGAATGGAGTCATTGGAGCTCGTTTCAACCCAACCACGAATAGAAATTGGCCACACTTTGTTCTGATAAAGAATGAACTGGCAGAGAAGAGTGATGGCTTCGTTGCCAAATTACAGCTCGGAGATTCGGTCTGGGTATCTGAGTTCCAATGGCGAGAAGGCTATAAAGTTTTGGCTAAGAATGCTGGAGAAGTGACTCAGTATAGGAGGATTTGGTTCCATAGTCGCATCAATAGTCAGGCCACAGTCTCTTGTATTGAATTCATCTCGTATGCAGAAAGAGTTGAGTGTTCTGGTGTTGTTATCAAAATCAAAGAAACCAAAGATGTCAGATCCTGTTGTATAGTCATCGCTTCGAAACTTCAAGTGTCCACTCGTTGTTATCGTCGTCAGTTGATTGGACTAAACTTAAATGAGATTGAAATTGGTCAATTAGTTAAAGTTTCGGTCGCTAAATTACCTGCCAACTTTCTTGTCGATGAATCGTATGTTCTCCCACACATGACTGAATACAAAATTGGTTCAGAAGAAGTCATTCAGCAAGGAATGGGTACTCTTGGAACAGTAGAACCACACGGGCCTTGGCCATATAAAAGGAATGGAAAAAATATATTTTATCCTCTGTTACCTGAAATGACGCAGGGTGAAGTTGAGTTGTCTGAAGGTATAATGAGTGCCGCAATTGGTTTTTCTTATGAAGATGAAAGACGGAAAATTGTTGAAAATAGGTTCGAAGGCACTGCCATTTTTGTTGATGAACTGTTTCGTCTAGGTTTCACTGAGATTGACAGTGCAAAGGTTAAAAATTTGAAGGATGCTTGGAACGAAGATGATCAAGTAGTCCTCAAGTCGGAGATGCATCTTCCAAGTTTTGCATCAGGTGTCGTTAGAAAGATCGAAGTTTCTCAGGTTCAGTCCTTCGGGAACAAGAGATTTGATTTTTGGATTAGTGTGAGGGTTGTCAATGTCCAGGAGCGAAAGAACAGAGATGTTGAGGAAGAATTGGAAAATGCCAAGGATGGGGGCTTCATTGTAGTCCATCCGTTTCTGTTTAAAGGATTGGAGAGTCGTCGAGAGTGCTTTGATTTAAATATGCCATCAACTTTATCTTTGCAAGATACTAACCAAGGAAGACTTCTTCGCGCTTTACTGGCCAGAGAATTTGAGGTCGATGATGAAGTAGAAGATTGGGATGCTTCGGCAGTTGAAAGGATTCACCCATTGATGAGGTTATTGAATAGGAAACAGCAAGAAACAGCCAAAATTTTGTTGGAAGAGGGTTGTAAATTTGTTTTCCAACAGGCTCCGCCTGGAGTTGGGAAGACCCACGTGGCGTCTGTTGTTGTTGCCATAATGTTGTCCATTGTGACTAATGTTAAGGTAGCAGTGATCACAGCAGCGAACTTGCCTTTGGCAAAGTTAGCTCGTGAATTGGAAGAAGTGTTAGGTAGCCCTGAGATGGAGCGGTCAGGAGCTGTCGCTTTCTTTTCAGGCTATGCCAAAGATAAGTATTTTGGTATGATTAACGAGCTTCGGCAGCATATGTTAGTCACCAAATTGAAGTCAGAGGAGGTTCTGAGAAATCTTGGAAACGCTGACGTGAAAACAATCGATCAATATTGTGAAAATTTTGATCGTAGACCTCGGTTAACCAATGAATGTAAGATGGGGTCTCTCCTTGCAGAGCTCTCCAGACTACGCATTGTGTTTGCCACGTCATCAATGGCAGAAGCAATGGTGAATTCCTCGTTGCTCGATACGTCAGTTCTCATCTTTGATGAGGCGACACAAGGAAGTTTTACTGAGCTCGCTCATCTTATTTGTCGTCTTCCGAAACTTGAGAAGGTGTTGGTCACTGGAGACCAACACCAACTCGGTGTTCATCTCCAGAACCTGCCTAAGTGCCTCCACTATGGCTTCGGCCTGGAGAGCATGGTCGAACAGTTAGTCTTGTCGACTTTGGTCAAGCATACTAGGTTGACGGTCTGCTATAGGATGCACCCTCTTCTGGTAGAAGTTGTCTCTTATGCTTCCTACGAGTCGCATGGAGAAAATATTGAGGCAGGCAGAGGTGAGGATGAAAGAGCGTTGTTAACAACCTCACGATTCCCCCTACCAATGCAGAATTGTCCGATTGTGTTGTTGAATGTTGTTGGAACTTGTCGTCAGGATATTATCTCCCATTCTCTCACCAATGATGAACAAACTGCTTCGGCAATTCAACTGATTTCCTCCTTGTATGAAAAAGTCTCACCAAATATTTCCGTCGTTGTTATTTGTTTATATTTGTTTCAAAAGGAATGTATTCAAAAAGAGTTTGAAAAATTGAATTGGAATGTTTTGGTAGTCAGCGTTTATGGCTATCAAGCCCAGGAATGTGATGTTGTCGTACTTGTCACCACAAGATCCTCCAACAGAAGTGGCGGCCTCGGCGATTCCTCGGACTTCTTGAGAGATGATTGTCGTGCAACTGTTGCGTTGAGTCGTGCCAAGCATGGACTTTTCCTCGTCGGTGACATCGAGACTTTGAGAGGTGGTAAAGTATGGAGCAGGTTTATCGATCGTGCTTCAGATTTTACAATGGTTGTTGGTCAAGAGTATTTGAATGTCCTCCGAAGTGGATCTTGTAAACGTGATAGGTTTGGCCAGCTGTTGTCCGCCAGTGGGAGAGTTGTAGCTAACTTTGTTGATGAGGTGGTTCCCCAACATCAGCAACAACAACAACCTTCAACGAGTGGAATGGTTAGGAATGAAACATGGAGACGAGATGGGCCAAGTACAAGTAGAGCTGAAGATTGGTTTGAAAGAGATTTTAATAATTTAAATATAAACAATACCACAAATTATTATATTCCCAATTTTAGGAAGAGACAAGCTCCCAATGAATGGCAACAATATCAAGGAACTACATTCATCAGAACTTCAGACCAAACCCAATGCTACAAATGTGGAGGCCATGGACACTTCGCTCGCGAATGTATGGAAAACAGTTATGGAACTTGGCGTAAGGATTCATGGAGAGGAAGAGGAAAACATTAAATTATTTTTTTATTATTCACTTTAATTTGTTAAAATGAGTTTGAATGTTTTTAGGTTGTAAAACACACATATTTTGTCCACCATATCATTTGTATTTATTTAAAATTTTTTTTTTAAAAACAAATTTCCATTTCACATCCCCTCTCCACAATTTTCCTTTAAATGTTTTGAATTTATTAAGTGGTTAACACTAGGGCACATTAATGTATTTTTAATTGTGTTTTTATTACCCCAGAATTTCTTTTCCAATTTAAACCTTAAAAATAATTTGTGCTTAATTTCATGTTACCTTTATATCACTTATACCTGTCAAATACAATTTTTTTCTCATTTCCAAAAATTCTCAAAATGTCATTTTTACAACCAAATGTCACTTTATATAGAAATTTCATTGAAACCCTTCAAAAATATTTTTTTATGATTTTAACAATTTGCTCTAATTAATTAATTAATCAATTATTTTTCTAATTAATTATTTTGTTTGCCAATTTACATTCAATTTTACTTCCCTCTATATCTCACAGAAAAATTTTTCAAAAAAAATTTTTTTTAATATTTATATCATTCCCCCAATTTTTTTTAAAATGCTAGAATAAGTTTTGTTACTATTTATTTAGTTCACTTAAATCCCAAAAATGCCACTTTTTATTCACATTTCATGAATCGCATATTTACCTAAAATTTACTTTTGCCCAATCATTTTGTGCCAATCTTTCTCAAATTTTCCCTATTTACATAAGAATTTATTTTTTTTTGTTTAGCCATTTATACCCCAAAATTTATGTTGTCATTTAATTTTACTTAGGTAATTTCTGGATCCTTTTTACTATTTTGACATTTTTTTCAATTCCAAACCTTATCCCATTTAAAACACGTTTTCAAAATTTTAATGAACATGCTCATACTAGGTTAGCCAAAAACAAGGAATACCCCAGAAATATTTAGACTTTACCCACAATAATTTCTAAACTCTTAAAAAAATAATAACCCAACTACTAGAAAATGACCATAAAATAAATACACGAATCAATAAGCAACTTTGAAAGGAAAGAATAAGTTAAGAGTGGACCAGGGACGGTCCAAAAGGAAAGGAAAGAGAGACATGCTCGAAGAGCATGGAAAGTAAAAGAAAGAGAAAACATCATGAAAATAGGCTAAGCCAGGCATCAGAGAGCTTATTGATTCGGTATGAAAAGGAAATGGTCAGGTTACTAGTAGGAGGGAAAAATGTTTTAAAAGTAGAGAAATTAGAGTCGGAAAAGTCTAGATAGAGACCAGGGACGGTCTCGTTGGGAAAGGGACGTGTAAGGTAGAACACGGTATTGAGCATATTCAGAGTTTGTGTTTTTGGAGTTTGTATTCATATCCCATTTATTTCTATTTCATGCAATTTTAAATCCCGCCCCTTTTTCACACATACAATTTCAATCATTTTATTGTTAGTTAGTTAGTTTGGTGTTTAGTAAATATTATGAACTTGTGTTAAATTGTTAAATAAGGATTTCCACCGGCCGGTGTGTGTTTGTGTATATTTGAGTATGGGGAATTGCTGAAGGACCTGATCAATCCTGAAGCTCTTCCTAGGAAGTCCAAATATACTCCCCTCCCAATATTCCTCTATATTCTGGGTATGGATCCGGCACGGCTTCGGCACTATGGGTTGGAGAATATGAATGTGGGGTGAACATCTTTCTATATTTTTAAAATAAAACGGATGGGAAGGGGTGGCGATCAGCTGTGGGCTTTTTGTTAAAAATAAGGTAGCATCCGTCCCCCGAAACCACGACCCGAACCTATATGAATTTTTGGACAAAAAGCCCAACCGAACCCAGACAAACCGCCCCCGAAGGCTCAGTGTGCTACCCTAGCTAAAAATAGTAACATAAGTCATTAATACTAGAGATCTTCTACTAGAGATCTTCTACTAGAGATCCTGTATCCTTAATAATTCCACTAGTAAAGATTTGTAATAATTTTTATTTAAATTATAATCTACTTAATAATTGAATATCCAATAAAAATGCATGTTGCCCCAATAAACACACCAAAATAATGTGAAAAAATGTAATTTAGTCCACTTTTTGGAGATCCTGGAAAAAGTTCCAAATGGTCTTGAATGTCTAAATAGATTTTGTAGAAATTATTATTTAGAATTTGGACATACATATAACTGGAATGACTGTAACAGAGTAGAAAAACCCAGAAATTAAAGCAAGGCAAATACATCTATGAAATTTAAATTTCTTAGTAATGGAATGTTTTTATCTTTTAACACTCAAACACTCAAATGGTCCAACTATGATCTTTGGAATTAATAAAAATAATTTCTCAATTATTATTTTTTTAGTTAAAAAAATATTAATAATTATAATATTTTCTAACATAGGAAATAGGGTTGCCAAAATGGACCAAAAAATCGAGTTAGGCCTATGATATTTGGTCGAAATAGACTCCGAAATAAACTTTCTGCCCGACTAGATAAAAATGAGGCCCGAAAACCGACAACTCCAATAGCGAGAATAAAATAGAATAGTAGACTTAGTGATGTTCGAGACTCTCGGTCTCGGTTCCCGAGTCGGAAAATTTCCCGGGTTTTTTGAGCTCTCGGTCTCGATCTCGGTCCGAGTCTCGGGGTTGATTGTCGGTCTCGGTTTTTTTCACTCCCGAACATTACTGGTAGACTATTCAAATCCTTTTATTAAATTTACAGTAATCGATGTGAGTTTCGCATCATCCATTTCCTTATTCTTTTGGATAATCCAACATTGTTTTGACTAAATCTGTGGACAATTCTTCTAAAATAATTTGAAGTGTTCCCAACATTTGTTTCATTTAAATTCTCTTTAGATTCTGTCTTATTATTTGAGGAATGTGAGGATAAATCAAAACTAGATTTTCTTATATCTAATATTCGATGTCCACTGATAACCAAACCAACTCCATTCATTATTTTATGATTATAATTATTACTTTGATGAAATTCTGAATTCTCTAAAATTTTGTAATTTAAAAATGTAAGCAAATGATTGGAAATTTGAAACTTGCTCGTAATTGGACTTCACAATTGCCTTATTTTCCCTTGTATCCTACACATGATACATATGATTAAAAAGAAAGCTAGGGATGTAGGTATTACTACTTGGATATTACAAGCTATTAATGCTTAATTAACACAAAAAAGACAAACTGAAAACGTCCTGTATCGCCTTAGCTTTTTTCAAACTCAATAAAAAAACTTAATTCTTTTATTATTTGATCATTAACTCTAGAAAATTTTTAGTAATTCTTTAGTTCAGAATTATCTAATCAGCTGATTTTTTTCAACTGATCCAGCTCGATATTCGAATTTTTGACCTAAAAAATGAGGCAAACCCTAACTTAGCGTCTTTGGTCTCTGACAAGTAATTCTTGAATATTCTTAATTAAATTACAGTAATTGAGAATTTCCGAATAAAATTATTTCCAAAAATATCCACAAACTTTCTAGCCGATTATTAATATAATATAATCACCTTCTTCAAAAGTCTCATTTGATCTTTGATTATTAATCCTTTTTCTGCTTTTATCACTTTCAGAAAATGACCTGCACATATTTGAACTACAATTCCTACCAGGAAATATATGAACTTGTTTTTTGTTGTTTTGTAAAAGTTTTTTCTCAATAAAAGCAAAACAAATACCTCTAAATTTAAAATTAAATTTTTAAATTTCCCTCGTAATTTATTGTGAGGATTTTCCCCCAGGAATCAGAAGGCTAGTCCCTCCGACTATCAATGTTTATAAAAATCGAATTCTATTAAAGAAGAGAAAAACAATCACAATTTACTATAAATTTTTACTGTTTCCTTTATACACTTGACAGTTCTTTATTTAAAAAATTTTATTATTAATTTCCTTTAGAATTTAATCATACATATAATATCTATCGACTCCTCACCCAATTATAATTGTTATCAGACCGACAATGTTGAGCATTTCATGTTCAGGAATTTTTTGTTTAAGACCGAATAATCCAAATCGGCCTGTAGACCATCCTGTTAGTATATTTGTTGTTGACCATAATAGGAGGGCCGGGGCTAGGCCGAGACCGAAAATAACAATGTAGGCAAGTGAATTTGCTGAAATAAAATAATGATTAGAATGGGGCATTCGTCCCCGTAACGGGAATTGTAGAAATGGGGATAATGGGTTTGAGTGATGTACATAATCACTTAAATGTTGCCTCATCCAACTTAAGGAAGCTTCGTACTTTAATTTTATTTTTAAACCAAACCCAACCTATCGGCCAAAGCATTCCTCCACCAGTTACCGATAACCGAAAAGGTGGAGATCCCATCAAAATATTTATAATAAATCCAATAATCAAGCTGCCAAAGGACATTATCCATTGAATAAAAATTCCTAATTAATTTTTAGAAAATTTGAAAATAATTTAAAAATACTACCATCATTTCCCTTTGAATATTTCTTGATTGGGACATGCTAAATAGTAAATTATTTAAAATTAAAATATATTTCCCATGTTTAAAATTACTGCTTTAGGTTCCTTCGATTTTAAATGGATAACTTAGAAAGAGTTAAGCAAAAGTTTAGCCACCAGGCAGGATTTAAAACTGCGACTCCTTCCTGACAGTTATTACTAGTAGAGTTGGACAAAACGATACTGGTATCGGCCAACCCGAGACCGAGACTGACCGATACTCAAGAACCCGATACCGAGACCGATACCATCATTTTGAGCCGAGACCGATACCGAGAAACGATACTGACCGAGACTAACAGAAAATTTTATTTTACGCCAAAAAATACGTGTAAACATAATTTATTCATTATTTTCATCATCCAAATCATCAGATAAATACTCTTCATCATCTGGATCCGATCGTGTTGTGTATGGGCGTCAGCCCTTAAAGTGTTTAGTATAAAAGCCCAGCCAATAGTTAGTTTTCGTCTCAGTTTTAGTTCTTCCTACAACCTTCGCCTGCTTTGTATTTCTTTGTGCAATAAACGTTTCTGTTAGCTCCTCGGCGTAACCGGAGTAGTAACAGATTGATGGCTAACATCCTTTTTTAAAAAATACAATAGTAGGATTTATAGGTAAAAGGATTATACACTCTGTTACAAAAGTCCTCCAAATAACCCAGTATTGTATTTAAGCCTTTTAATTTTATTAAATTACTGAGACTCAGTTGAGCTAGAGAAAAGAGTCGTGCGAACTCAATCGTGAAGGCTTAGATAAATGCTCGGATTTTGTAAGGCAAATAAAGAAGGATTCACTCTTTTCAGCGCCGCAGGCGAAAAATTTTTGAAATTCAGAAGGCCAAAGGTCAAAAATTCTCAGTTTTATTAAAAAATACAAGAAAATTGGGGTCTTTGAGTCAGTATCGTTTCTCGCCGAGAAATGGACCGAGAATATCGGTATCGGTTTCGAGACCGGGAATGAAAAAACCGAGACCGATATTGGAAAAAAGCCGAGAATCTCGGTATCGGTCTCGGTATCGGTCTCGGCTTGTCCAACTCTAATTACTAGTGCTTTCGCTCACCATATACAGAAGCTTTAGCACTGACGCACACCATATACAAAAGCTTTCCCACTGACAAATGAACTACCAGGGCATCGACTAATGCTTCTCTTTTTTTTTAGATCGTTTAACCCCCCCGCCTAAGCGTTTTAAATGCTGCTATTTAGATGAATCATCCTTACAACATTTAGATAAATTTTAAACCTACAAAAATATTCCTCTTCTCTAAAATGGTGCACTAAAACGATTCAGACATTTGGACTGAATCTTTATTTTTATTGAAAACTACAAAAATTATTTTTAGATATTTTCTGAACCCATCAGAAAAGTCGAAAACTATATCATCTCCGGACTAGGATGATACTTTTTTGGTTATAATTACCCAAGTTTAAGTGAAAATCTCAATATTAATTATTAGGAATTAAAAATAATTATTTTGACGTAATTAACAACAAATTAATTTTTTTAAAATGTTTCAGCTGACCATTTTTTCATTGATTGATAAAAATAAAAGTTATTAACTTATGGAAATCGATATGTCAACACCGTTAACTACCTCTTGTACTAACAACAAAAAATTAAAACTGCATCAATTATCTAAAAAACTTTCTAATTTCTCTGAACAATTTTCTACCGATATTCCTCCTTGGGCTACTGCAATGCTTGAAATTGTTAATTCTGTTATGGATCTCTGCAAAGACATTCTTACAACAGAACCAGAACAAGAAACTATTAAACCTGTTCCTAAATTTCGCTTTGGTGATCCACATTCTGCAACCAATGAACAACAAAATAATTCTTTCACTAATCAATCGTATTTCACCAATATTTTAAACAACGCTATATTAGACGCTGAAGAAATTAAGTCTAAGTCAAAGAGGGTCGTTATTGAACGTGCCCCAGAAAATGAAGACATTAATTCTTTAATTAAAAAAATTGCTGCCGATAGTGGAGTTTCTGCTGATCTTGTGGAAAAAGAAATTCATCGACATCCAAATCGTGAGTCTTCTGAAGGTATAAATAAGAAACCAAGGATTGTAAAAATTCCATTTGCCAATAAAAAGTCTAGGGATATCTTTTTATATAATTTTCGTAAATGTTTAAAGAAAAATCCAACTTTTCCGCAGTTTTTAACTGCAAGACGTGATATGACTCGTAACGAATTAAATATATTGTATAACTTGCGAAAGCAAGCATTTTCTATGAATCAGGCCGAGAACATGTTTAAGTACATTGTTGTCGATCTGTCAATAATTACACTCAAAAATCCACAACCGCTCAGGGCAATCAAAAATAAATAGGGACACGCAGGCAAACCGCAGTCAAAAATAAATACCGGAAATTTTCAATCATATAAATGTTTATTATTTAATTCTAGATCCCTAGCTAATAAAATACCGGATTTAAATCAATTAATCGAAAATTCTAATCCACATATTATATTAATCAATGAAACATGGCTCACAACAGAAAATACAATAAACTCTGAACTTTCATATATGGGCAATTATGAGATTATATTAGCTAATAGAATAGGAAAAAGAGGGGGAGGATCGGCAATCCTATTAAAAAATAACATACCGTTTAAAATAATTTTCAATGGCTCTAAATTCCAATCGGAGATAATCCATATAAAATTATTTCTAAAAAAAGAAATTAGCATTATAAACATTTACCGCCCACCAAATAGTTCAATTATTAATACAAAAAAATTATTTAAGTTTCTTTTAAATCAAACTGATCAAAAAACAATATTATGCGGAGATTTTAATATTAAACACATAAATTGGGATTCCAAAGAATTAACTGACAACTATGATAAGATCGCAAATATGTTTTTGGAGTTTATAGGTCAAAATCAATTAAATCAACTTGTTACTGAACCGACTAGGGAAAATTCAATCCTGGACCTTGTACTCACACCTGCTTCCAATTTAATAAGAAATGTTAATGTTAGGGAGAATTTTTCAACTTCTGATCACAGAATGATAGAGTTTGAGTTATATGAGCAGATCAGAGTAATTAAAAAACCAAAAATTTATGTCAGAGATTTAAGCAAATCCAATTTTATTAATTTGAATCAAGTTATATTTGAAAATAATTTAGATCTAGGTATATTAACAAAGTTCACTGTGGAAGATAAATATAATTTTCTGACAAAGGAATTGTTATATCTTTATAACAAATATATACCGATGAGAACCTTGAATAAGATAATAAGGAAGACATACCCCAAACGGATTAAGGAATTACACAAAGAAAAACTTAGATTATTCAGAGTCCTTAAAGAAAGAAAACATGATCATAACTTAAGACTTGAGTATAAAATCGTTTCAAAAAACCTGAAAAAACAATTAAAAATTCATCATAATACTAAGGAAGAAAAAATAATAAGTAAAGGTGGAAATTCAATACATAAGTTTATTAGAAACAGACTTACTCAAGATAATAACATACCCTGTTTAATTGATAAAGAAAATAAATTTTACTTCAGTAATGAAGAAAAATGTAATATTTTAGGAAAAGAATTTCAAAAAAACTTTCAAAATAAAAATATTAATATATCAAATTATAACAGAAATATAATTCCGAAAACAAAACTTTCAGACATAGATCTAAGCACTAGCATTGTGTGGGATGTCCTTAGATCACTTCCTAATCGTAATTCAACTTCGCCAGATAACATTCCTTATATATTATTAAAATATTGCGCTGACTCACTTGCAAAAATAATCACAGATATCTTTAGATGTATTATTGATAATAAGCAAATTCCATCTATTTGGAAAACATCACTAATTATACCACTTTTTAAAAAGGGAGAAAAATCAGATCCAAAAAATTATCGACCAATATCGCTAACATGCACCTTATGTAGGATACTTGAAAGAATTATTGCACAGCAATTAACAAAATTCCTAGAAGATAATAAGTTCTTTAATAAAAATCAGTTTGGATTTCTTAAACAAAGGTCCACAACCACACAGTTATTATCTACCATGGATGATTTATATAATGCAATACAAGATGGATATAATATAGATATTATTTACATCGACTTTGCTAAAGCATTTGACACTGTACCAATAAATATTCTTTTAGATAAAATAGAAAGTGCAGGCATAAGTGGAAAAGTATACTCATTTCTTAAAAACTTCATATCGGCTAGAAATTTCAAGATTAAGATAGGTGACCAATTATCCCACAACTATGAAACATTCTCAGGTGTACCTCAAGGAAGTGTCCTAGGACCACTTTTATTCCTTATTTTTATAAATGATCTTCCTAATGAAATCCCCGAAAATGTTGGAGTAAAACTATACGCAGACGATGTAAAACTATATATAGCTCATAAAAACGGCATAGAAAGAGAACAACTAAATAAAGCTTTAAGAATACTCGAGAAATGGACGGAATTAAATGGTTTAGAAATATCCCCTAGCAAATGCTTTGCTTTATATCTAGGTAAAAATAACATGAAAAGAGAATATATCATACATGGATTAAAAGTACAAGAAACAGAATGTATTCGTGATCTTGGAATATTAATTGATTCAAAAATAACATTTAACAATCATATAAACATGATCATAAAAAACGCATATTTAAAAAGCTCCCAAATAATAAGAATCATTAAATCTAGAAATTTAAATCTCCTCGTTAATATATATAAGACATATATAAGACCCCAACTAGAATACGCAACTGAAGTATGGAATCCACAGATGAAATATCAAATAGAGAAAATTGAAAAAATTCAAAAACTATTCACTAAAAATATTTACAAAAAATGTGGTTTAATCAAGGTCCCATATGAAGAAAGATTAAATACTTGTAAACTCGAAAAGTTAATAGATAGAAGAAAAATTGCCGATCTTTCCACCGCTTTTAAAATTATAAAAGGTTTTACATCCCTTAATTCCCAAAAATATTTTAATTTATCAAATAGATCTCTTCGCAGGCCTCTACTTCTTAGGACAAAAAAATATACAAATAAAACAAAAAATAATTTTTTTCACAGAGTGGTGAATAACTGGAATAATCTTCCAAATGAGCCATTTAAAATAAATGATCCGAAAAAATTTAGAAGCTCATTAAAATCTAATAATTAAAGTAAAATAATAAAGACATTGAGCCCTGGCGTGTGTGGTTTTTAGAGTGTTTGTTTACTATTTATATATTTTTTTTTCATTTCATTTTTTTTGTTGTTGTCTCACATATTTTCTTTAATTTGTATTTTTATGTTTTTTATGCACCACTTTAATGTATTTTAAAATACCTGTGGTTTGCTGATAAATAAATAAATAAATAAATAAATATTTTGATACTTTTTTAGTTATAAGAAGAGAGATAATACTTTTTTAATTATAAGATAAAAAATATACCAAAGAACCAAAACATAAAGCTCCAATCAAAACAACCAAAATTCCAATAATATTTCCTCCATATCCTTTATTCTCCTCGCCAAATTCATTTAATATAAATTTCGAAACATTCCAATTTGAATAAGACAAATAATTATTTTTAATAGGCATTTTTAATGATGTGTATTTTTAAATAATTATTTAATAATTGTGATTATTACTTTAGAATTTTTCTTATCAATAAAATATTTATTTTAGTGTTGGGTAGTTATTCAAAAATAAATACTTTTTTAAATGATTAAAAATTAATAATTATACAAAATTTTATTTTAAATTAATAAATTGTTAAGCAGCTTTATTTTTAATACATAGGTGATATAATTGTTTAGGAAAATTTTAATTAATTTTTAAAATTTTTGTAAAATGAAATAATGAATTAACCTTTGATTCTTTGTTAATTATCTAGAGATTCCCTATAATTATTTTCTTATTAATTAACATTTTCTTTGGATCATTCATTCTTTTTTTGAATGATTAAAAAGGATGAGCAATTTCCGTATATAATTCGATCTATCCTTATCTGAAGAAAGGAAGAGGGAGGAGGTATACGAACTTCCATTTTACCGAAAATTATATATCAAAATAATGTTTATATATTCCAAGTAAGAGGGACGGGAGGTCCTGGATACCAGGAGATTTCCATGCCACCGATGCAAGGAAATAACAAATAGTTAAAATATAACTGAGAGTAAAAGGAAGATTAAAAATAGCGTGTTGGCGACCGGTTATTAACCGGTACCCCCGGTTTTCGGTTAATCCAAATTTTAAAAACCCGGTTTTCGGTTTTGAATTTTAAACAAATACCGGTTTTATTTTGGGGAAATTTTTAATAAAATCACTCATTTTCACAAATTTCCGGTTTTCGGTTTTATAATTTTCTAAAAGCGGTTAATTTTAGGCAAAAAATTTCAAAAATTCCGGTTTTAAAACCGGTCGTGAACAACCCTAATTTAAAAATTTAAGTGATAACAATTAAAGTTATAACTTGATTACATTAATAAATAATAATAATATTCTTACCAATATTTTTTATTTAAAATCAATTAATAGAAAATGAAAGTTTTTATTTAATTATTAAAATAGCTTAATAAAAAGCTGGATTTAAGCTATACGCTGAAGCCAAAAATATTTTTTGCGTCATAGAATATTTTTTGAGATGTGGCAATTCATATGAACAAATATTTAAAAATTATTTTTAAAAAAATTTTCTGAAAAGACCAAAGAATAATTTTTAGAAAATTAAAGACTTTCTTTTATTTTTAATGATAAAAAATTTAAAAGATTTTACCAAATTATGAAATTTGTATTCCTCGAGTGGAAAGTAAATATTAAAAGGGGTAGGGCCGAGGTTCTGTTTATATTTCTAGGTTTTAAAAGAATTGTTTTTCTTAAATAAATAAATAATTTTTGTTCTTTTAAAGTCTCGCGCAAAAAATAAATTTTTTATTTAGGGCCCTATTCTAGTCCTAAACTACTTAATATAGATTTTTGTTTACATTAAGGTCGGGGGAAAGAAGTTCAATTAAAAGGAATTTAAAATTTTGATTTAATTTTGATTTAATTTTTATTTAATTTTGATTTATGCTTTCCTGCAGAATATTTTATAAAATCTACGTTATTTTTTCGTGAAAAATATAAAGGATATATTTATATACATAATTTTAACTAATTTATAGCCGATTAAATATTTATGTTAGGTAAAAAATCCTTTCAAAGAAAATATTTTTATAAGAATACATATTAAATAAAAACAAATTAAATATGTACATAAATAAATAAATATTTAAAGTTCATCATCTTTAGAATTTTGTTTGATAAATATGTACATATGTATATTTATTTTCAACTAATTATTCAACTATTTTTATTAGGCTAAAATGTTTTCTATCTATATTTCATTTTTAATATTTTTTCAAATTTCCTTTTATTTGAGAGTTTCTTAATACACTGCGCGTCAAAATGATGGCTCCACCTAGATTTTCGATTTTTATCTACAAACTAGTGCACTGAAATTTTCATATTTTTTTCTAATATGTATGTGTTCTATGAAAAGAAGCACGAAAACATTAAAAATAAAACAATATTTCTGTAAGAATATTAGAAATCGTCGTTTTTTAAATATTTATTTCATTCAACTAATTATCAACATAATTGTCTTTTAGTGAATTGCTTGAAAAATGAATTTCTAAATTTAATTTATCTACTAGGAAAATCTAATTATACTAATGTAATACCTAAATAGTTAACAACAAACATTACTCAGTCTTTCAAAAATATTTTAAAAAGTTCCAAAAGAAATTTCAGAGGATTCAATTCCACATTCATCCACACCTCTAGCAATTTTGAAATATCCATTCATTCCCCAATCATAATTCCATTGGTTGGCACACAACCAATAATCCAAATGTGTTCCGTCTGGATAAGTGTCTGTACCCCAACCAATCATTCTAACGGCATGTCCGCCTACATAGACATCAGAAGTTTGCTAAATTTAATTTATAATTTTAGTAAAAGGCAATTAAAGTCTATCCAAAATATGCCTGATATACTCCTGATGAATAATACATAAAATCATCGTAAACATCAAAAGCAGCTACAACAGAACCATTAGCCTTTATTTCATTTTGAATGGCTGCTACATTACTTTGAATATAACCTGTTGTTTTAGCTTAATTTAAAAGAATATTTTGTTATTTATTTAAATTAAAGACTAAACTATATTTTTTATCTTGGGTATAAGCAACATTCCAAGCACTCGATGTACATGAAGAGACACAGGACGGGGCAGTGTATTCAGTTGATCCATGCGGAGGGAATGGATATGGCTTACAACCACTGTTCCAAGTATAATTTGTTCCGGTAACAAGACCTTTAATTAAAAATCAGATGATATTTTAGAATCAAATTTTTTTAGAACAAGAGATCGGAGGTTTAAATCCTGCAGGCACCCTTGCCTAACTTTCGCTATTATCTACAATGAGACATTTTGTGTGATTACTATCAGTTGACAGGGACTGAATGTTTTAGTAGTGAGTTTCCATTCAATATCTCAGTAAAAATAATCAAAATACCGGAAGTCTGTGTATATTTCCATGCATAGTAAGGATCACCTCCACCACATCCAGACATTCCAGGAGTACGCTGCATTCACTCTCTATTAATAGATCTTAGACCCCCGCCTAGTGAGCGTTTTAAATGCTAGCAAGCTGAATCTTTCTCTTCCTTACAATACATATAATTATTTTTTTTAGATTTTCAAAAACACTGAGAAACAAGATCATGATAGTAAGACTAAGATAAATTTTTTGGTTATTTCCAGAAAAAAATTAATGGGGGGGGGGGGGGTCGGTTGGCAAAATCGAAAAATATTAAAAATTATAAAATTATTTTTCCAAAAATTACCAAAGAACCAAAACATAAAGCTCCAATCAAAACAACCAAAATTCCAATAATATTTCCTCCATATCCTTTATTCTCCTCGCCAAATTCATTTAATATAAATTTTGAAACATTCCAATTTGAATAAAGTAAATAATTATTTTTAATAGGCATTTTTGATGATGATATTTTTTAATAATTATTTAATAATTGTGATTATTAATTTACAATTTTTCTTATCAATAAAATATTTATTTTAGTGTTGGGTAGTTATTCAAAAATAAATACTTTTTTGAATGATTAAAAATTAATAATTATACAAAATTTTTAATCAATTGTTAAGTAGCTTTATTTTTAAAATATGTATGTGATATAATTGTTAGGAAAATTTCTGAGAAAATTAATTTGAAAATTTTATGTAAAAATGAAATAAGGAATAATTAACCTTTGATTCTTCATTAATTATCTATAGATTTCCTATAATTATTTATGTACTCATTAATTAACATTTTCTTTGGATTATTCATTTTTTGAATGATTAAAAAGTATGAACAATTTCTCCATTTAAACTTTATTCCCTTTATCAATCAAAAGCATCTTCCTTATGTTTTTATCATCCTACCGACCTCTATAGTTCTTATATATCTTGTTTCATTTTCCCTATTTTCAGTGCTATTCGTAACCTCAATTGACCCTAATTTTACGAATGAAGAAATAAATAGGTATATTATGAATAAAAAGCATAAGAGTTTATGGTAATTTTATCACAGACGTAATAAATGATTGGTCTACGCCAAGGATCTAGCCAATCCGATTCCCGAAAATCGGGAATTGAATTTTATGTCGGCTAGACCCTGTAGTCTAAGTTAACTGGGCTGGACCCGAGAAATTTAATTTAATAATTTAGATTTAGAGCCAGATAAACAATCAGATACAAATCAGATATTTTATGAAGTACTAATCTTTAACTAATCAAATTTACTTCACTTAATAATGAAACCATGTAAGGAAACAACAAATATGTATGTAGCTTAAATATAACTGAGAGTAAAAGGAAGTATAAAAATTTAAGTGATAACAATAAAAGATATAACTCGTTTTTATTAACAAATAGCAAGTTTAATATATTTATTCTTGCCAATACCAATATTTTTATTTAAAATCAATTAATAGAAAATGAAAGTTTTTATTTAATTATTAAAATAGCTTAATAAAAAGCTGGATTTCATCTATACGCTAAAGCCAAAAATATTTTTTGCGTCATAAAATATTTTCTGAGATGTGGCAATTCATATGAACAAATATTTAAGGATGATTAAAAAAAATTTTTTTTGAAAAGACCAGAGAATATTTTCAGAAAATTAAAGAATTTCTTTTATTTTTAATAATAAAAAATTTAAAAGATTTTACCAAATTTACTAGTATATGTATTTGTTATGAAATTTGTATTCCTCGAGTGGAAAGTAAATATTAAAAGGGGTAGGGGGGGGGGGGGGGTAGGGAAATTCTGTTTATATTTTTAGGTTTAAAAAGAATTGTTTTTCTTAAATAAATAAAATAATTTTTGTTCTTTTAAAGTCTCGCGCAAAAAATAAATTTTCTATTTAGGGCCCTATTCTAGTCTTAAATATGTATTTTTGTTTACATTAAGGTCGGGGAAAAGAAGTTCAATTAAAAGGAATTTAAAATTTTTATTTAATTTTTATTTATGCTTTCCTGCAGAATATTTTAGATATTTTTCGTTATTTCGTGAAAAATATAAAGATATTTATGTAATTTTAACTAATTTATAGCCGAGCAAATATTTATGTTGAGTAAAAAAATCCTTTCAAAGAAAATAATTCTATAACAAAATTAAATAAAAATTAATTAAATATTTAAAGTTTATCATCTTTAAAATTTTGTTTGATACATAAATATGTATATTAATTTTTCAAATAATTATTCAAACATTTTTACAGGGCTATAAAGTTTCTATATTTATTTCATTTTTAATATTTTTTGAAATTTCCTTTTATTTGAGAATTTCTAAATATTATACAATAAAAGTATTAGAATTAATTTTCTTGAAATTTTGTTATTTTTGTATAAAATTTTCTTGATATTTTTCCACCATACGTTGCTCGGGAATGTGGAAAATTCATGTGCGTATATTTTTAAATGTTTATAATCGTAATTAATTACTGTTTAATTAATAATAAAAATTTTCAAATCCGAATCCTTGCTTGTTTACATTTACTTTACTAAATTAATTTGTAATTTTAATTGTTTTATTCTATTTGTTTAAAATTATTGAAAATTATATTTTTAACATTTATTTCAACTAATTATGATCAAAACAATATTTAGTGAATAGCTTGAAAAATAACATAAATTTCTAAATTTAGTTTATCTACTAAAAAAAGCTAATTATACTAATGTAATACCTAAATAGTTAACAACAAACATTACTCAGTCTTTCAAAAATATTTTAAAAAGTTCCAAAAGAAATTTCAGAGGATTCAATTCCACATTCATCCACACCTCTAGCAATTTTGAAATATCCATTCATTCCCCAATCATAATTCCATTGGTTGGCACACAACCAATAATCCAAATGTGTTCCGTCTGGATAAGTGTCTGTACCCCAACCAATCATTCTAACAGCATGTCCGCCTACATAAACATCAGAAGTTTGCTAAATTCAATTTATAATTTTAGTAAAAGGCAATTAAAGTCTATCCAAAATTTGCCTGATATACTCCTGATGAATAATACATAAAATCATCGTAAACATCAAAAGCAGCTACAACAGAACCATTAGCCTTTATTTCATTTTGAATGGCTGCTACATTACTTTGAATATAACCTGTTGTTTTAGCTTAATTTAAAAGAATATTTTGTTATTTATTTAAATTAAAGACTAAACTATATTTTTTATCTTGGGTATAAGCAACATTCCAAGCACTCGATGTACATGAAGAGACACAGGACGGGGCAGTGTATTCAGTTGATCCATGGGGAGGGAATGGATATGGCTTACAACCACTGTTCCAAGTATAATTTGTCCCGGTAACAAGACCTTCAATTAAAAATCAGATGATATTGGAGAGTGACATTTATTTAGAACAAGAGATCGGAGGTTTAAATCCTGCCAGGCACGCAAATCTTTGTCTAACTTTCGCTATTATCTACAATGAGACATTGTTTTGTGTGATTAATATCAGTTGACAGAGACTGAATGTTTAGTAGGGAGGGGGGGGGGGAGGGAGTTCCATTCAATATCCCAGTAAAAATATTAAAAATACCGGAAGTCTGTGTATATTTCCATGCATAGTAAGGATCACCTCCATCACATCCCCACATTCCAGGAGTACAACTCATCAACTCTAGCGCAGAGAAATATACTGATGGATTTGTCTTTAAAGGTGCTGAATTCCCCTTTTTTACTTGACTAATACAATAACGATCAGTTAAAGCCGAGGCAGTGGAGACAGCCCAACAATCTCCACAACTTGATTGGTCCTTTTTTGAAGGATTATTTATTTATTTATTAAAAATTCCTAATTACCTGAATCATTCCAACAATTCCAGCACAAGATGCAAATCCTGTACGAACATCAAAAGAAGCTGGAATTGAACGTTTACGGCGAAGATTTGTTTTTTCGGGAGTAGAGACTTGTTTTTTCGGGACTTTCAGTTTTGCCCCAAGCATTACTGAATGCTTCTCCAATTTAGCAAAGCGATGATGTAATTTTGCAATCCATTTTCCTTTATTTTTAGCGTTTGCCTTATCAACTATTTTTTGAGCTTTATCTAACTTTTCTTTTTCAGTCAGATTTGCTGAGGAGGATAAATAATAAATTTGGGCAAAAATAAGGAATAAAAAAATTATTTTTATCATTTTTTATAAGGATTTGAATTTAATATTTTTATTAATAAAATTTGGAATTGTTGTCTTAAACCCGAAACTTGAATCCATTTTATATTGAATTGAAGATACATGTCGCATCCTGCGAATTAATGTCAACTAATTATTTAAAATAACATTAAAATTATGAAATATATTAATCACTACTAAAATTTCACACACATATATTTTGAAATCCATTTTCCTCCAAAAACACTGGCTATAAATATATTGTTTTAACTTCCCTTTAATCACTCTTCAATAAAATAATTATAAAATATATTCTTCTGCTTTTAAATTAATTGTATTTTTTCTCTTGCGAAATAAACTTTATTGGATTTTGAATTAATTGAACTTAGAACTAGGATTTCTTTAAATATTAGGAAAAAAACCCTACAGCTCAGCCGGGTTAAAGAAAAACCGAGAAAATGTCAGCCCCTTTTCGTAACCAAATTCGGTTGTTGGCTGAAGAAGCCGATGATATCCTAAATAATCAAAAATCATTTGCCCTTCCTGTCCAAACTGGAAGCATTTCTCAATATCATACCCAAATTCGCACCCTAATTAATTCATTAGATACTGAATCACAAAATGCAACAGAAATTTACAACGATATCAATCGCCAAAATGATCTTTGGATGGGTGTCAGAACGTCAATGACGGGAGCCGAACGAATAGCAGATAATCCCATATATGATGAATTTGTACAAGATGTGCCCTACCCAACTACAATCCGTAATTTAAAGAAATATATTAACAAACTACGCACAGAAAAGGCAACTTTATCTGAAAACCTTCCCGACCCTTCCAAATCCACTGATACTTTATTTCATCTACCCAAACTATCACTTCCCAAATTTAGTGGGAAATGTATCGAATTCACCTCCTTTTGGAACTCATTTCGCGCTGGGGTCCATGATATTCCAAATCTTTCAGACGCTGTTAAATTTAATTACCTCAAGGAATGTCTGGATGGACCGGCACTTTTATTAATAAAATCCCTTCCATTAACTGATGCTTCTTATCACGAGGCAATTCGACTTTTACGGGAAAATTATGGAAATGCCAATGAAATTAACAGAACCCTTCTGCATTCAATACGTAAATTGCCCATAGTTCATTCAAATAATGGCCCCGAAACCCTTTGTATGGAACTACGAGCTTTCGTAGACCAATTAGAACTATTATATTTACAAATGCTTGAACAAGAATTTGACATAAATACCCTTTCCGTGCAAATGGAGTTAGAA